GATCGTTTTGAGCTTTATTTGTTCGCTCATTACTGTAATTGTAAACGTTTTAGAAGTTGATGGTACGAATAATAAATTACAACAATACGTCAATTAATTACGTGATCGATTTTTTGAAGGAGAATGTTTTTGGAGTGAATAAAATTATGAGATTCGTGAACATAAATCTGGCTTAACGTTTTGAATGCGTTTCCTTCAACGTTTTACAAAACAATTAAATTGCAACAATAATGTATTTGTGTTTGTTTTTAGTCTGCAGCATTTGTATTTCGAGAATGTTTCAAACTCTTCTAAATTGTGAAACATAATGTGTTGATTCCATTAAAAAAAATATTTGCCCTGTGACTGAGCTCACTAATATTCATATTTGTAAATAAGTTCTGTTAATCAATGAAGGAAAGATATGTAAATGATATGCAAATTATTATGCAAATTAGCCCCGGCGCTATGCATTTTTTCTGGGGAGAACCCTGTAACCCAACATATATCGAGCTAATTTAATGTAAGAAAGTAGTGTAATGATTTGTTTTCTCTCACTATAATGTAAAAATCTTCAATCTGATTGGTCGATTGTCCAAGCAGATTGACTTTCGGACATCCTTGTAGAATCTTGCAAAATCTAATATTTCTTGAATAATTATATTAAACTAGTAGTTTCAAATGTTAATTAAAACGTGTGTGATATATGCAAGACGTCATTTCAAGTTCTCTCGATCTCAAGTTCTTTACACACAAATCTGTTTCATTCATGACCAGTGGTGATTTGTCACGGTTTGTGAAATGACCTCTGTTAGTGAATGAATCTTGGTCAGTGGTTTCAGCATTCATGAATGGTGGCGCAGTTGACCCAAGTAGGATTTTGAACTGCCCAATATGACAACCACTACTAGTACGTGATCAGTGGCCACCCTTTAGGTTTGCATGTTAAAAGTTTTCTCTCTAAATGAAATAATTACATCTTTGAAAGACACAAGCATATTTTAACTTAATTTAAATATACATCTTCCCTCTAAATATGGGAAATTTTCATCTTATTTTCATTTATTAAATGACTTCATGTAGAAGCTCTGTTCTAATAGAAGTACATGTAAACCTAATGTTGCTTTTAATATATACTGGATCCATAGACTTTAGATCTATGCTGGATCACTTAATTACGACTTTTTTTGTACTAAAGTTTCTGGTTACCTTCTTTTTCCAGATTAAAATTGAAGAACGTAATCCAAATAATAATTACCTGTCTGCCGGGGAGATTCCATTACCAACTTTATTCTTCACCATGTCGGTAGTGTTCTTCATAACCGCATGTTTCTGGGTTTATATCTTGAGGAAGTACAGGGATGATGTCTTCAAAATACACTATCTCATGTTAAGTCTCATATACCTCAAGTCTTTATCGCTGCTCTTTCATGCTGTAAGTTGAATGTTTCCCATTTATTACCAATTGTGCAGTTCAGTTTACTACATATTACCTTTGCCAACAAAACCTCAAGGAATTCGGAAGTATTTTTTGTATACGTGTGATGTTGAAATGACCACTGCACATTGCATTGTGCATGTGAATGGGAATTGTGTGAATGCGTTGACGTTATATACAGTATACAGATTACAAGGCATATAATGTAGATGTGATTCTGTTGAATGTTTTCGATCGTTTCTTCCAAATTATCTTAGTTTTAACGTGTGGAAATTCACTGGCATTGCCAATGCAACAAAATAATAACCATAATGTCCATTGTCAACAAAACCTTAAGGAAGATGGAACCAAGTGTATATAATATAATGCCCATTGCCAACAAAACCTGCAGGAACATTGAACCAAGTATAATAACAATGTCCATTGCCAACAAAATCTTTGAAAGATATAACCATCAATATTAAGGGCTTATGTTTGGTTTGGTTTGGTATTCACAAAGCCATGTGTCCTATACATCTTGTTAAAAAATTTATTCATTGTAGTTGAACATATATAATGAAAATATTTGCATATTGAGTATAAATGTTGTCAGCTTGAATTTATTAATTTATTTTTACAGGATTGTGGGTTAACTGTTTTTGTAATATCTCTTGTGTACTCGGTTTTACCTTTTAGATTGACTACCATTTCATTGCCAAATATGGAAATCCAATTGAAGCTTGGGCTATAATGTATTACATTACACATTTGTAAGTATCCCTATGTACATGTTTTCATGTTGAAACGATTGTTTGAAATTAGCAAACATAATACAAAATGGTTCTGACAAAAGTCTGATGGACTGCACATTTCTCAAATTCCAAATTCTTTTGTAAATTTAGTTCACATTAACATTCAATTGTTTATGACAAATCCATCTGTGATGATTTTTTGTGGTTGCAGTTACTGGTATGCTTGTTTGAGACATTTCACAATATGTATTAATAAAAATATAATGAACCATTGGTAATGCCAAAGTCAACTAATGTCATCAGTCTTAATTAAAATAAGGTTAATGTGCACTCTGTTTTATTGAAATAATAGTTTTTTTTTTAAACTTTGGGGAGTCGCTAATGACATATTCAAATTCTGTGCAGACAATTTTTTAAATGCATTGCATGTCGTATGAGACTATATCAAATACCATATTTGACACTACATGTATTATTAATATTCGTGATCGAGACACAATGAACTTGTAATGATAGCTTTTAGTCATGAAAATTATTTTGTATTCACTAGGGGGCTTGAAATTGATGCGATGGTACATGTAGCCTAGTGACAATTATGACTTTTGTATTGAGCGTTTGCACTACTGTCTTGCAATTGAAACTAAAATCTACCTATTTGCAGTTAACGTTATTAAATTCAATTCTTTTATTGCAGACTGAAAGGTGCACTGTTGTTTATCACTATTGTACTCATTGGTGCTGGGTGGGCATTTATCAAGCATATACTCACAGACAAAGATAAAAAGATATTCATGATAGTTATACCATTGCAGGTAAGAAGCATGCTGTTTGGGTTTGTGGAGTCTAGTGCTGACTTCAAAGTGAACACATCATGTGTTCATAGCATTGACATCTGATTGGTACAAGTATAGGGTTCCCCTGATGTCGTCTATGAAATTAAATTTGATGCCATAAGTTACATGTCAAATCTGTTTTATCTGTTGCTGTATTGTTATCTTTCCCAGGGTTCTCGAAGATAAAATACATTCTTTGCTCAATTACTTTTTGCTCACATGCACCTCAATTGTAGATATACTTCAAACAGAGCAAGTATAGTAGCAAAATATGAATGAATAAATCATCAAGGAATTTTTAATAAAATGAACAGCGGAAAAAAAGAGAAAAGCAAATAAGCAATAGACATTCAATTACAGATAATCTACGAGCCGTTACCCCCAAGCACCACTAATCACCGGAGAACATGTCAGAACCAATCAATTGTGAAGATAATATGACAAAAATAATTGATAAATAATTATTGCATTTCAATAAATACAAGCTTAGAAAACACTGATCAGACCCCGTGAAAGTTAGCAAAATATTATCATAAATATTTCAGTGACTATAGTGAAACCAATCAATTTATATTTTGTGACCTGTTTGTCTAGTTGTAGACATTCCATCCCTGCACTTAGACTAAGTTCTGCATTGCTATGGCAATATTTTCTGTGAGAACTGCTGATATAGCCTTGTTACCACTCAGCTCAAATCTTATTTACAAGTACATTCAGATATTTGTGGTGTTTTCATCTCTGAACGGCGTCATAGCAACTTTTTTTTTATAATGCCAAATATGTGTATTAATTTTATTCAAGGTGCTTGCAAACGTTGCATATATTATCATCGAGAGTTCTGAGGAAGGCCAGTCTGAGTATTACATGTGGAAGGAAATATTTATCCTGGTAGATCTACTGTGTTGTGGTGCTATTTTATTTCCTGTTGTGTGGTCGATAAGACACTTGCAAGAAGCTTCAACTACAGATGGGAAGGGTGAGCTTGTTACAATTGTTAGCATGATTACTGTTAACGTATTATTTATTCACTGGATTTTAGTTTCGCTATTTTCACTGATAGGTAAAAGCAGCTTAATAAAATCCATGTGATCATGTAAAATAACCATAGAACATGTGAACCTCGTTCCAAGATTCTTTTTAAATGCGTTGAAATAATTTGTTATGAGGTCATTATGAGGTTATAATGCAAACTTTACTGGAATTCATATCAATGACATTATACAATTCTTTTAGCCCATGCCTTGAAAACCAATGCAAAAGCAAAAATGGTAATTTCGCCATTGTCCTCAACAGTTCAGTTTCTTGAAAAAAATTTCACAACCTCTAGAACAAATTGTATTTAGGGAATGATATGTTTTTTTTTTCAATTGAATGATACTGGTACTCCTAAAGGTAAGTTTCCTCATATGATTTATCTAATGGGGAAATAGAAAACAAGTTTTAGAGTTCAAGCACATTCAATTCTTTCATCAGATTTTGTGGTTTACAAGGTGCGATTTATCTGAATAGAATTTCAGTCTACGATGCATACTGTGCATGGCAATGCATCAGCGAGAGTAGGAAACAATAATGAGTGATGGACTTGTAATAATTATCTTTCTTTCCTTATACCGGTACTGTACTAAAATTATCATATACCCTTTCCTTGTTTACAGCAGCCATCAGTTTACAAAAATTGAAATTATTTAGACACTTTTACATTATGGTAAGTATGTACCTCGAACTACTGTATATTCTATGATGAGTAGTTGTGATAAAGGTGCCTTCTTATAAGACACATAACAGCACTACTCACTGGTCTCCAAAATGCAAAACAAGTGACTTTTAATCTACAAGTACCTAAAAAATGCAACTCATCATCATACTCTTTCCTTGCATCTAAAATTACTGTGTGTGGAATGACGAGAGTGTGGTGGAGGTTCTTTGTGCCTGCAGTAGACATGTGGTTGTAGTAATTTAACTTCCTGGATTAATATACAGTTATTTACGTTTGAGTATTTAAGTGGATTGAAGTGAATTCTGTTAACATTGCACAGGTTGATTGGTGTAGGTTGTTTAGTTTGGTATTGCTGTAGTTAATATGTCATATTTGATTAACGCAATAGATTTTGTATGATTGCATCTTGGCGGTAAGCACCCAAAATAGGAAACTATCAAAAGCATATAAACAAAGTATAGTACCAGGTATCAACTGTAATTGAAACATTCATATCAACTATAAATTGAATTGTAACTACAATGAAATAAACAAATGAAATGTACTTGATAAAAGTGAAATATACATTTTCTAAAAATATGAGCTAAGTGTCAAAACACCGTCTGCTACCTCAGTGAGTTTTAGACACAGTTCAGTGAAGTGGTTGTTAGCACCAACTAGTCAATGTCCCTATGTAGTCATTAAACTTACAATTCTCTATTGACAAAGTATCAAACTGATTGAACTGTGTTATTCTTTTCAGATCGTCTGTTATATTTATTTCACAAGAATAATTGTGTATCTCCTGAAGGTAAGGCTCCATACATTTTGTTTCGATTGTAAATAGATTGACAAGCAATGATTTGTGTATAACAACAGTGTGCAGTTAGCCCTGCACCAGTTGTACTCTATTGAAAGCCTTTCTAGATGCATTTTTACTAGGATAGTACCAGTAATAATAATGACAGCAGTCAATGTGTTATTAGTGCATGTGTAAATGACAGTGTATCTGTCGTTGTTTTTGGTTTATGTATGACTCTACAATGTATTAGCAAACAAATCACTGTATGGTACATGTAGTGATGTATTTGCTAGTTACATGTATCTAGGTCAGAATTTTCACACACTTGCTGAACAGGATTTGCCAAGATGTAGTGGAAGGGTGATTATGTACCCCTTGGGTGGAGAGGGTATTTGAACTATTAAATTAATGTTTATGACCAACGTCATATAAGTTAAAAGCTATTAAGTAAAATACACAAGTAAAATATGTGTATGAGAGACAATATAAAGTACATTTGTGATGTATGCTACTTGAGTTTCTTTTTGTTTGTTCCGTCTTATAATTGTGGCAGATGTAGGGAACTTTTGTCATTTGATCTAGGTTTGCTTCTGTGCATTAGAATTATCATATTTTACCCTATTAGAGGCACATCTTTGATAGTAGTGCGCATGCACCATAAAATAGCATTTAACATATGCTGGATCAACAAAATATGACCTGTTTTGATCATAGACACACCAATGTCGTTTACATAAGAGCATCCCTATGGTTGCGGAGAACAAAAAAAAAACATCTATATGATGATGAACGTATCTTTGTTGATATCCCTGTTACAAGTACTGTACTGTCCATGTTGTCATAAGTTATAATTTCCATGTAATGCATGAAAAATCAAATAACACTCATCTGTTCTATTTCAGATCACTGTACCATTCCAGTACATATGGTTGGATGATTTCTTCAAAGAGGTTGCCACCTTCATATTTTTTGTGGTTACTGCGTATAAATTCAGACCAGCATCACAAAATCCTTATTTTCAAGTCAGTCAAGATGAAGATGATATGGAGATGGATGAAGTGTAAGTGTTGAATTTACAGAAAATTATCAGCGTATATGTTTCAACTACATGCCAAAAAAAAAAAGTTGTATTACTCTGGGTTTTTTCTATAAAAAATGAGGGAGCACACACAGATGAGGGAGTGAAGCGACCAAGCTCGCACAGAAACTACGTGGTGGATCAACCTGGAAACGCCATATCGGAAGGTTTCTGCGCCGTTTTAATGGTGTATCTATTGCAATTGAAATATTTTTGAAGTAATTTCAGTGTATTTGGTGTCCAGACACATTGTCAGCTGGTGTTGCTGGAAAGTTTTCATGGAGAAAAAAACATTTGAAAAAGATTTCATGTTGTACAGCAGCACGGAAGTGCACGGCTCTAGAAATATATTTATGACTTTAAAGTTCAATTGGCAATTCGGTAAGAGGACGCCAGCCGAGAGTATGAGGGCGCTGCACCCCTGTTCCCGGTTTAGATAAAACCCTGCTACCAAACAGACCTTAGTTCCTGTTCAAACAAATTTCTCCTCTATATTTATAAAAACAACTTTTTTTTTTCTCCTTTTTTGACAGGCTAACTGAAACTGGTCTAACAGAAGGAGTGGTGAAAGTGAACTCTAATTCTACAACTGCTAAGCAGCGAGACACAAACCATTATGCTTGAGGCATTGTTATAATTCATTGTAAAAGTACGCTGTCAAATTATAACGACATTTACTCTTTTTTTTGAGTTACTGCTATGAAGGAATCATATCAGAATAAAAATATAGATTCAAACCGAACAACAGGATGACACTATTACTAATACCCTGCATGCATTTATCTGCATATAGGATTAATTATAAAAGCATTACTTAAGTGTCCTCCTGGTTTTACTGTTTTTATTTTGAGAGTTGATAATTTATGACTTGTGGGTGGGGGGTGTGACTTTACTGTAATGTATATATTATTTTTGTATCACGAGCATTGAAGTCGTCAAATTGTGTTAAGAAACTGTGATTGTTTTTTTTTATAATTAAATTTGTTCCACAAAAGTGGCTGAAATTTAACCTATAAACTCCTCCCACATTGTACTGTATTTCAAACTCCAGTCTTGCCAAACCACCAAACGTGTGTTTGCAATTGATGTCACGCCTTTTTATCTGATCTAAAAGACGTTAATATATATGAATTGTGTGATCAGCTGTATTATGACTATTATTCTTGATATATCATTATGAAATATATATATACCCATAATAATTGTGCGTGTTTGTGGGAGGTGGTTGGGGAAGATTCTGCGTAACTTTATTTGTAGTAGATAAAACAGTCTTTTGTATTTTTGGTTTTTTCTTTCACAATAATCATAAGTACTACTGTTTTTTTTTAATGGGACATTTTTATGTAGTGTGAAATTAAAAATAACCTGCAAAAATCCTCGAATAAGTCTCTAGTAACGTAAACTTGTACATACTTGATGAAATTCAAGTTTCTTTATTCAGTGTATATAGAAACCGTCTTCAGTTATTTATTCAGTCATGTATGTCTTAATCGTTCATATTCCCTTTTATTGGAATTGCACCACTAAATCAACCAGTCATGTTCAGTTTACCTTTGTTAATTAGATATATACTGTACTTGGCTCAAATAAAAGCATTCATAAACCAATTACTGCATTTATTGTATGCTCAGTTATTAAAATAAGCATTCATTTACGCAGGTGCATTCACTAAAAATGACAGCAAATATGATAAATTCTTTATGCTTGTGACAATTATTTACATATGGCCATTAACCGGAATAAGTTTCTCGTCTATGCATGCATTACATGGTATGAAGCACATCAATAGATTTTTGTTTTGTAACTACTGTTTCGGAAAATGTAATATTGATGTACAGCAGCCATTTAATCTGCATGTGCAATGCTCATTTCAATAAAGACTTTAAAAACTCATTGCATGGCTCTTGTGGTAGTTATCCTTCAACTCAATCCCTCTGTTTATATGGCGCTGCACACACTAATAAAGGGACTGCTGTTATATACACGTTGCTGTTACATAACGTGAGAATTCTCGCAGTGCATGTAACAGTATATGGATCCAAAATATTGTGCATACCATAAAGTTAGGACCTTTAGTGTTGACTTAAGTTAATTGTCATAGTAACTTGGACAGTAGAAGAGCAATAGCGAATTGCTATCTGCGTCGTAATGTACAAAATAATCAGTAATACATCTTGCCTGTAACTTGCGCTCTCTATAGATCAACCACTATATGCTATTTTTGAGTCACTGATGTACATTGTCACCAGAGGGCGCGAAATTATATGGAGCTCAAACTGTCTTGAGACCTCGGTCTTGCATGAACTAGCGCTTCATCAATGCAAATTTTAAGTGTTAGGAAACTGAACTACGTGGTTTTAAAGTCATGACTACGAATCTGCTTCTAACATGATAACAAACAGTTTATATTGTTTTGTGCAGTCGCGGCCACTATTCGATGATTCACTGTCGTCATCAAAAAATGATGGATTAGAATGAAAATGTATGAGCTGAACGAAAAGAATTCTGTAAAACTACATTTGAGCAACAAGTAAAATTGTACAAGATGAAAAATAAACCAGCGCAAGGTAGTGGCGGGTGTCCCTTTCATTCCCAATAAATGACAATTTCACCGTCGTCCGTAGCTGCAGTTCTGTAGCTCCGGATTTCGCTAGTGTCCGTTTTTGGCGTATTCTGTTCCATCAGTAGTCTGATTCATTGGCCTATTGGTAATTGTGAAACCCTGGAATTTTAGTTTCGAAATCAGGAGTGGTAGAATTGCAGCTACGTCTCCCGCGCTACCGATGTTGCGATACTATGGTCACATTCATTACACTGTCAATCGGAATAAAAAAACTGTCCAGAATTTTGATACGAGACCGATGTTCGACTGTCACATTAGTTGACGTTGGTGCCGGGTTCAATTATATTGGATATGCATATCATTTATGCTTAAAGCCTGGGTACGGATACTGGCATATATGTATAATTCAAATCGCTATATTTTGTACTCGCATATCCAGATCGTTTCTTATACAGACACTGAGAATAGGAAAAGACTAATAAACATAACGATCATGCCAATGGGAGCCTGGTTATAGACACTGTATAGTATTGCACCTGTATTTTTTTTTATAATTCATATTATGAGGCGATAACGCAAGACAAAATGCAATCAATGGTATTGATGTAGTCAATCAACAGACTTTAACGCCGGAAGATATTATTTGAATAAGAGAAACATGAAAAGAGTAAGACGACTAACGATGTGGAAATATGTGCACGACAATGCTTCACTCGTGTTGAATATCCGATGAAGGAGAAGTGTGATACATAAATTTGGTCTTGGATTTGTCTCATTTGACGCATTTGATATTGTACTGGTTACAGTGGTCTAGGACTAGCCATAATCTATTATTAATATTATTTGGTCTAGTATGATCATATTTGACGCACGTTTGTTCACATTGGTGTAGGATTGGAAACATTTCGTCTAGGATTCGTATAAATAACACGCAATGTACTCTGGGTTACTCTCATAGATGAAGTATACGGGTAAGCGCAGCTGTTTACCCATTTTCACAGTCGGCCGATCTTTTTGTCCTCCAATTTTTTAGATTTTCGACCGTTTAGCAATGCTTATTATGCAAGTTTTTTTTGGGGGGGTGCCAATTGATGGGCCCTCAACTTCAACATCAGAGGCAGCGGCACGGAATTTTGTATGGGGGCGAGATCTGCTCACCAGCCTCGCGAGACCTAACTAGGGGGTCCGGGGGCATGCTCCCGCTTAAAAAAATGGAAATCTAGACAATCTGGAACGCTATTTCCTCCATTTTGAGAGATAAATTTTGCTGACACAAATAGTTTCAGCTTTATTTTGGAGGGGCGACGCCCCAAACATTTTTTAGAGCGCCCCTTCTGTCTCCCTGTGCCGCCGCCACTGAACATGTTCAGCCTCACTTCTATGAAATTCTCCGTTGTCACATTTACAGGCACATTTGCTCGTAGAAGTGCGAACTACCTTGCTTATGTCAATGAACACCCATTGCTTACGTCATTTACCCACATATTCTAGGATAAAATGGAGTTATCCAACTTCAATTATATTTTACATTATACTACACGGTTGTTGAATATATTATACCCGAAAGTTACGAGATTAATATGGCTACATGTACGTCACTGTTCAGCCTAGTTCATGGCAGACCTTAAAATACCATTAAGTCAAAAGAACGTGGAGCAGTTAGATGGCAACCCTACGAGGCAAATTAGTTAATATTGTTAAGTTCGTGCTCGGAAATATATAAAGATATTTTAATATCACAGTTTGCAGAATAAATGTTTATATAGAACATTTCGATTTTGTTATACAACATATTAGTGTTTGGAATATTATTTTAAATAAATTACATACATTTAAGTACCAAAGGATTTAAAAAAATCTTACAAACATGAAATTACCTCGAACAATGTTGCACCTTAAAGTACCATTACTAGTATTTTTGATCCATTACGTAATATTTTTTAGTAGGTTGATTAATACAATTAATTAATGGCAGACCTGAAAACACAAAAATCTAAGAAATGGGTAGATGTTGTATTGTAACGCAAGCCGCCCCAAATGGAGCTATGGAACTTTGACATTTAATGATTCTATTTCAATAACACAACGTTAAAGTTTAAATCTGTTTCCACGCTACACTGGCATTTCTGCACAAAATAGATTTATTTTGAAATATGATTTAACAGATTATGATAAGTTTGTGTTGGATATGGTGTGAATAAATACATAAACAATTGTTTTGGGTATTTATAATAGAAATTTTATACATCACATAATGATTCATAAGTAGAGTGAACATTGTTTGCACAAATATCAATCAATTTAGGAAATTGTTTCATTGCTTGCCTAAATGTGAAAATTAGTTATTAATATAATTTTCCGTTGGCGGACATCATAAACAACATTAACGTTCTGATGAGTGCGTGTATGTATATACCGGTATGTGTGTGGGGGGTGTGGGGGTGGTGGTGTGTGTGTGTGTGTGTGGGGGGGGGTGCTCGTTAACACTGTACAACCCAAGGGGCTATTGGTGGATGTGTGTGTAATTGGCGGCAGTCATCGGGCCGCGTTCCGTTCGATATTGGACCTAAGGTAGAATCCTACTAATAAATTAAAATACCCAGAATTTATTCATTTTGCAATAAACTGTACTCCAAGGCAATACAAGGATATTGACCTAAAAAAGTTGGGGGTCACCAGCTTTTTTTTCGAGAAAATGATGGTTGTATTTTAGTGGAAAGTCGCCATTTTGACACTATTATAACACATTTACCATATGTTCCTATGGCAGAGATATTATGCAATATTTCAAAATCTAGGCCGGTGACATAGGCTGAAAAAATCATATATTGTTAATGATGGAGTACTTTTTGTTGTTCTGAATTATTTAAAAAATCTGAGTTTTGATAAGTGTACAAAAATGCAATCTTTCTTTAACATTGTGTTCTATGGAATTGTTCTATAACTAACAATTTTCAAGAAATGTTAGAACACGTTTCTCAAAAAGCTTAATAACTGTAACACACAAAATAAAAGCTATTTAATTGTACCATGGGACATTAGCTTCATGATTGTACATAATAAACTATTGAATATTGTCATGCGATTTTCGAGTACGCGCTGCGCGTCGACCGCTGCCCTTTAATTTATAGACATTTACATATTTTCATCAAAAATGATGATAATAAGTGAACTGTGTATTATTCACTCATTTGCGGTTTGTGGATAATACTAGCTCATGACGTCACTCGTACCATATCTACAAACAAGTGATGTCATCAGAATTAGAGAGTGTGACGTCATAATCACACAATAATGTAAATCTATATTCGCAAGTGGATTCACCTCAACAAAAAACCCTATATTTAGCTGAATTTATGTATTAATTATCTTGCCATTGTCCCTTCTTTGCGTATAACATAGCGCTATTGGCGGTTCATTATTGTTTTAAAAAACCTTATAGTATTTGCATGACGAGAAGAATCTACTTAATCATAATAAGCAACAGCTGCACATTTCAATACAGCGCCCTCATTCGAGAAAATTCTGTGCTGACCGTGTATTCGTGTGAAAGACATCGTACATTCGGACGTTTACCACTGCTTAAATCGTGCAATATCGAGCTGTTTGCGTCGTTAAAATGCCTTCAAATCCATCCGACCACTGGTTGATGCAAGTGTCCAGCAAAATACCCAAATTTGTGGATATTTTTGACGAAACAACGTTTTATTGTACGGCGTTTGTTTTCACCCTCCTTACCATTCTGTGTGCGTATTTATTATCTAGACGAATTACCCTAAAAGAAATGGACTAATTTACTGACGTTAAAAAATGTAAGTACTACATGATATGTTACCTTGAATTTTCTTCGTTTTGGTGAAAATACACGATATTGTCGCAATGGTTGTATAACACCTAATTAATATAGTTCCGGGCCAATTTTATGTCTCCGTATGGCAATGTTTCATTAAAACGACTCTGATAGAGTGGTTATTCTTTTTAGTATAATGTCACTTAAATTTCGTCATATTATATAATACTATTCTTTACATTTGTATTTTTGTTTTATCGGTCTTAGTCTCAGTACACAATACATCGGCTATTGGCCCACCGAAGAAGCCATTTTAGTTGTTTACATACTTGTTTACATTTGGTGACGTCACTGCCCAACCGCTTTGCTGATAGTTTGCGCAAGGATACTTACTGTATAAATCACAAAAATGACACGAAATATAACTACCGATTTCTGACCTAATAATCGTAAATGAAAATGTCATGTTTTATGCGAGAAAAAAAATCTTCGACCGAGTCGTCAGTTGTATACTACGTCGGATATCTTTGGACTATTTTACGATAGCGCATTATTTTTCGCTGTATATTCAGGTGTTCTAGGCCTGTGAACTGTGACTTACGTTCCTTCGTACGGTAGTACTATAGCTGTCTCCGGTCGACGTATTTGTCTTATTCTATAGCGATTGTATTTACCGACAGCGTTTTTTTGTATATACTCAGATTTATAATTATGGGGAAGAAACATAGCAAACTTAGACCCGAAGTTTTAGATGAACTGAAAAAGAAGACTTACTGTAAGTAAGCTCAGTACAGATTTATCGAAAAGTTGTCACAATTAGTTTTAACATGACAACAAAACTCGAGCATTGTAGAATAAGACGTTGCGAAAGTAACCATACTCTGAAATAACTAATATTTTAAAATATATTTGATTGCAGTTACAGAAAAAGAACTCACCCAGTGGTAAGTAGTCTAACAATACCTATAGTTTTTTAAAAGGGGGTGACCCCGTTGCAGCCAGTGGTGTAACAAACAATAGGAACAGTCAGCTTATTTCTATTTAAATACCTTCTGTGTTTTATTGTTCCCTAGACTTGTCTGCTATTGGCTTTTAAATGCACAATATAATTGCATTTACTACTGTCGCTTGACTTAGTTAATTATTATAACAGTGCAGGGGTTAATATTATATATTACTTGGTGAGTTTTGTTTACAAGACAGGGTTATATTTATACGGTTATTCACCTCAGTCAGTTCCCCTGGGCTACCTTTTTAACACTGCTGCAGAATAAAGTTTAAAATAACCATAGGCATAATTATATATGTTTCTGAAGGCCAATGTAATTTGCCCAATTTTATATATGAAGCAGATACTGTAAAATACTTAATTTTCGCTGAAGGAATGATTCAGTGAAAATAAAATCCAGCGAATATATTTTTTTTCCTATATTTTACATTCAACTTGTTAAAAATCAGTGAAAATAAATTCCATACAAAACACCCAAAAAGTCTTTTCAGTGAAAATTTATTCCAGCTAAAATAAAGTATTTGACAGTATATTTTTAATATTTTTGATTCCATTGGCAAAGATTAAAAGACAAAACCCACTTGTAAAAGTTGGCTAAAACTACCAAACCTTGAAATTTAAATTTGCTAGTTGAATGTTGGTATTTATCCAACTTTTGTAGATTTTTACGAAATACAAAACCTAGTTAAATTACTTTGTCTTTGTGTGACATCTATTTACATACTATTGTCTTGTAGGGGTCTGAAAACACACTGTGTATCCTTGATTTGCTCAGTGTCATGTTATGAGGTGGTTGCCCTGCAAAAATGAGGTGGTTGCCCTGCAATGACCATGCAATAGTTACCGTTACTACCTTGCATTATTGTACACTGTTCTATTTTTTGATTCCATTCATTTTTGCAATATGATATTCCTGAAGGGCATTCAAAGGGTACATTCCAGTAAAGTCCGCCCGACTTCCTGTCCAATGAACCCTGGCATTTTCACTACACAAATGATAGTGATCTTGCTTGTCTTGAGAAATTCACAACAAATTGTCATCAAATAAAAGCTACTTGGCTTTGGTGTAGATTAAGTGGTATTACTTAAAGTCTACTTTTATTTATGCAATATTGTTAACAAAGCTGCACATGTCAGACATATAGTATACTAACATTCAGTAGGTAAATTTAAAACCAATGTTGAAGGTTGGGTAGCCAAATTTTACCATTTAATTGTTATTTAAATCAAATATATTAATAAAAATATTTTTGCTTCATATATAAAATTAAGAAAATCACATGGGCTTTTAAAAACATAACGTGTTTAAACACATGTATGTGTCCTGACATAATTCGGAATGATGAATTCATGATTTTTTTTTTTTGCACTTTTTGTACCAACAAATATTTCACATGAAAATATCCCAATTAATTATCAGAGCTATAGAACTGATCTCAAATTTCAGATTTTTTCAATATCAAATAAAATAAATCTTGTGTTTATTAACTGCTTGCCCATTTTTGTGAGACGCACAAAATTATTTATTTCTATGCCAGTTAGCTGTGGTTATTCCTATGTTATTGTAATTTTTTATTTCATTTACCGGTACTTTCTTCTTTGTAGTGAAGCACTTAATTGCATATTAAACGACTTACAGTAAAATGACTAATTTTTACTAGGTTTAAATTTCACTGATTTACCATTTCAGGCATATTCAGTGGGTTTTAAATTCATGGTTTCATCATTTAGATGATATGATCTATGCTAAATTTGACATATTCACTGGGTTTTAATTTAGCACATTTTTCAGTCAGCAAAATAAGCAAAATTAAAACCCAGTGAATAATTAATCCTTTTACAGTACCGGTATATTATGAAAACTAACTTAAACAACTTTTTCACATCTGTAGTTAAACCCTGTTAAAGCAATAACATACATGTAAAAGTACAGTTGTGCAAAATAAAATAAAAAAAAAATTCTTCCCTAGCCTATTGCCTTTATCGAAAACCACATTTTATTATCAGTGTTCTCCCCAGTAACTCAAACCACTGCGGTGGACTGTCTAATTTGTCGATCGCTTAATCTCCACTTTGCCAGACACCCATTTACAGGGACTGTTTGATCATAGTGGCGGTCGGGTAAAACAATGCAGAGAGACTGAAACCCATTTCATACTTTTGTGTAATACAGTGCACTGGATGAACAATGAAAAAAGCATTGTGGTGGTCTTGCTAATCACCATAGCAGTGTCAAACCAGTGTCACAGTATCATAGAATGATTAATTAGCATTGATTTAAATATATTATTGCAATATAATAAAAATAAATATTTTAATCTTTGTAATAATATAAACAATCTTTCAGGAGTCTTTATTACTGTATGGTTATGCACTTGATATATGGTATCCATTACAAGCATTATTTATATATGGTCTACTTGAAAAGGTCATCGCACTTAATGTGCTTCCTCATATCAGTCCTATCAAATCATCCAAAACTAGCTTTCACCAAATAATGTAGAATTTACGTGGGGGTGGGGGTGGGGTAAGTAAATGTCGAGTGATTTAATTTTTCAGCAAATTTTGATTTAGAAATAATCACAAAATTTTGTAGGATTAAAGCAAGGGAGTCGTCACCTGCGTACGCATCAGATGGCCATAGCATGTCATTGTTTACAAACAAGCGTCTATCCATGAGCCTTAGCGTTTTTAGCGTGTGTTGTTATCGTCGCCTGGGACTCAATTCCTGTGTGTGCACAGGTGACGACCCTCTCGCTTTAAGCATTCAAATTCTTCAAAAGGAGATTAAGATTCCCAGGCACTTCTTTTCAGACTGTTATTTCTAAACGAAGATGACAGTTGATTGTACACATGCTATATTTCTTTGGTTAGCTCAACATTGTAATTGTAGATTTTATGAAACTTGTTCTCAATATCTATGAACATATATTTGTTTTCCTTGAGAATGTGTTTTTGTGTTTCTCCACTCAAATTACATTATAGACATGTGCAATCCAGACAGTAGTTGCACTTTTCCTGTCTAATGTTATCAACAGTCCAGCTTTTATCTTGTGTTTTCTTGCAATTTATATGACTTTAGAATTTTTGGATAAATTTCCATTAGCTTTTATTCTTGTCAGCATTACTGGTACTTTGTTTCATCCATTTCTCCTCAAATCAGAGATATTATGTTATTGCTTTGATATATGAAAGCCATTTGTGAAAGAATTTGATTAATTGTTTTGCAGGGATTGCATTAACCCCATATTTTGCTTCCCGGACTCCAATTATTGAAGAGGGACCCAGTTTTTCAGGCATATATCTCTAATAAAGTTATAAAGGGTCAAATTTCAATTTCTTAGAATTTTGTAAGTGGGACTCGTCTTGCCGAGACACTAGCGCAAACCCTGTTTTGTCACCTGTAACTATTTATTATGAATGCTGTGCACATAGTTACAAATTGACCATTTTCTGAACTTCCTGAAATCCTGCGTTACTCTAAAATACTTTATTTTAGCTGGAATTAATTTTCGCTGAAAATACATTTTGGATGTTTTGTCCAAATTTATTTTCACTTATTTTTGACAAGTTGAATGTAAAACTTAGGAAAAAAGGTATATTTGCTGGATTTTATTTTCACTGAATCGTCCTATCACAGGCCTGCGTTTTGCAATTAATAGGGCCACCCACAGAACTCACATTGGTCAGGGAACTATTTCTCTGCGAAAATAAAGTATTTTACAGTATGCTTGAAGTCAATTGAAAAAAACAGGACAAAGGTAGTAGTAGTGATGTCAAAACATCACATGGGATTTGACAAACTCAGAAATTTAATTTTGATATTTCTATATTTAATAAAAAGAAGTAATGGTATCTCAATGCCGTATTCTTTTCAGATTAGTATTTCAACATTGAAGTATAAAAAAAAAATTCAAATTAAAAATCAAATAATTTGATTTTTAATTGTGTCAAAAAGTTCAGTCTGTGGCTTTCAGTACTGTCTAAGTCATGGTCTAGACAATTGTAATACTGTAGAATACTTTATTTTCGTTAGAATTTATTTTTGCTATATTTCACATTAAACTCATCAAAAATCAGTGAAAATAAATTCCATACAAAACGCCAAAAAAGCCTTTTCAGCAAAAATTAATTCCAGCGAAAATAAAGTATTCCACAGTAATAGTTGAACCCAAACATGCATAATTATTTAAACATAGATAGCAGTGTTCAGTGTGTGAACCCATGTATATGCTTCAAAACTAGATGGAAAATTTAATCAGGTGGCTACTTCACACATACACATG